AAAAACCTGTAAAATTTTTTAAAGGTTCTCTCTTTTTTTTTTTTTTACAATTTGTAAAGACTCCTGTCCCAATACAAAACCCCGCCCCCTTCTACAAAATCCCTGCAGCCCCACACACACATTTACAGGCAGTCACACACTCAGTTACAGACAGTCACACACTCAGTTACAGGCAGACAGTCACATACAGTCACAGGCAGACAGTCACACATACACATTTCCTCCGTGCGGCCAGTTTATCAGCTGTTTGCTTGTGTGAGCTGTACTGGCCGCACGGCACCCTAACTACCATGGGACACTGTGCGGCCACAGCTCACACAGCCCCCTCCAGCCAGGGCCAGTGCAAGGATTTTTGCCGCCCTAGGCAAAAGTAAAGTTTGCCGCCCCCCCCATGTGACATCACAATGCCCCACCCATATGATTTGCCACGTTAACTAATGCCAGTGCTGCAGTGCCGCCGTGTTTACATTAAAAGGCCTGCAAGGACAGGCTATAGACACCAGAACCACTACATTAAGCTGAAGTGGTTCTGGGGACTATAGTGTTTCTTTAATGTGAGGTAAATTAGAGCTTAGTGCCACGAATAATATACTAGATTGCCTACTTACAACCAGATGAGGGATGATGATGGGCTCTAGCTGCAGTCTGGCTCCACTGGTCTGGTGCAGAACAGGCTCTCTGGGGGCGGTTTGTAACTGTGGTCACAAAAATCAATGTTCTGGGAGAACGGGAAGCAGCTCCATTTTTTGGGGGTCCTTTACACAGCTCAAGGTCTGGGTCCCAGGGTCCACCTTCATGTTCCACCAATGAGTTTTGTTCACAGGGGTCGGTGTAGGATGTCCTGATATGTGTGTAAGGAATGCATTGTGTGAAATTGTGTTTATATGTGTAAGGGCTGCAAGGTGTGTTTCTGTGTATGTATGGGATGCATTGAATGTGTGTAAGGGGTGCATTGAGTGTGTGTAATGAATGCATTGTGTGTTTCTGTGTGTGTAAGGGATGCATTGTGTGTAACGGTTGCATTACTTGTGTATGTGTGTCTGTGTGTGTAATGCATTGTGTGTTTTTCTGTGTGCAAGGGGTGCATTGTGTGTATGTGATGAATGTCAATCTCTCCTCCCGCTCAATTTCCTTCTCCTCCTCCCAATTTCTCTTTCTCACCCCCCCTCCTAATTTCTCTCCCCCCTAATATCTCTTCCCTCCTCCTAATTTCAATTTCTCTCCCCCCTCCTAATTTCTCTTTCTCACCCCCCTCCTAATTTCTCTCCCCCCCAATTTCTCTTTCCCCCCTAATTTCTCTTTCC